CGATGCCCCAGACGGCGCCGCCGCCGCCGCCGCCGCCGCCCGCCGCGGCACCATGAAGCGGCAGAACGTGCGCACGCTCGCGCTCATCATGGGCACCTTCACGTACCTGCTGGCCGGCGCCGCCGTCTTCGACGCGCTCGAGTCGGAGCAGGAGACGGCGGAGCGGCGGCGGCTGGAGGCCAAGCGGCTCGAGCTGCGCGCCCGCTACAACCTGAGCGCGCAGGGCTACCGCGAGCTCGAGCGCGTCGTGCTCAAGCTCAAGCCGCACAAGGCCGGCGTGCAGTGGAAGTTCGCCGGCTCCTTCTACTTCGCCATCACCGTCATCACCACCATAGGTACCGCCCGCCGCCACGGGTCCCCCCCCGCCCCAGGCTGCCGCCCCGAGCGGCCGCCGCTGCCCCCGGCCCCGCGGCGCCGGCTGCGGGGACCCCGCGGGTCCCCAGCGTGGGGGCCCTGGAGATCCCGGCCCCGCGACACCGGCTGCAGGGTCCTCCCGAGCTCCCGCTCCGGTCTCCCTAGATCCCCCGGCCCCGCAGCACCGGATCCCGTGGCCCCCGGAGTCCCCGTCGCAGTGTCCCCAGATCCCCCGTCTCTGCAGCCCCGGCTCCGGTGGCTCCCGGAGTCCCCGTCACAGTGTCCCCAGACCCCCCAGTTCTGCAGCGTCGGCTCTGGTGGCTCCCGGAGTCCCTATCACAGTGTCCCCAGATCTCCCGGCTCTGCAGCCCCGGCTCCGGTGGCCCCCGGAGTCCCCGTCACAGTGTCCCCAGATCTCCTGGTTCTCCAGCATCGGCTCCGGTGGCTCCAGAGTCCCCATCGCGATGTCCCCAGATCTCCCGKCTCTGCAGCCCCAGCTCCGGTGGCYCYCRGAGTCCCCGTCACAGTGTCCCCAGATCTCCTGGTTCTCCAGCATCGGCTCYGGTGGCCCCTGGAGTCCCCATGGCGGTGTCCCCAGATCCCCCGGCTCTGCAGCCCCGGCTCCCGTGGCCACCAGAGTCCCCGCCGCGGTGTCCCCAGCCCCGYGGCACCGGCTCCGGTGGCCCCCTAAATCTCCACCCCGATGTCCCCAGAGCTCTCGACTCCTCTGCACCCACTCTGGGTCCCCCCGACCCCCCACCCCGGTTTCTCGAGATTTCCCTGCCCCGCAGCTCCAGCTCCRGTGTCCCCCTAAATCCCCACCCTGGTATCCCCAGATCTCTCGGCTCCACTGCTCCACCTCCAGTGTCCCCCTAAACTCCCGCCCCGCTGTCCCCAGAGCTCCCAGCCCCCCGGTACCGGGGCTACCCGGCCCCCCCGGGCTCCCCCGCCATGGGGACCCCCCGTCTGACCCSCCGCCCATCCCCGCGGCATCGGGGCTCCCGCCCGCCCGGCTCCTCCCGTCCCCCGGGGCGCTCACCGCGGTCTCCGGTCTCTCCTCCAGCCCAGGGCACCTCCTGTTCCCACAGCCCCGACTCCTCTCCAGTTGCCCCCTCACTTTGGAGACCCCTCCCAGCCCCCCCCCCGGCCACAAGGCCCCCACACACACACCGCCACGGACCCCGTTTTGCAACCAGGGGAATGGGGGGATTGGGGCATTTGTTGGGGCCAGGGACCCCCTTTCCCTTCCGTGCCTGTCTGCAGAGACTCCGGGCACGGGGACCGGGGACATGTCCTCTCCGGGGGTCCCTTTCCTGCTCCTCCGTCAGGAGGCGGAGGGAGGTTCCCTAGGGATAAGGCTCCCTGGGCGGGGTGGGGAGGGGTTGGGAAGTGGACCCCCCCACACCAAATGCACCAAGACCCTCCCCTGCCTGGCTGAGCCCTGACACCACTCGTGACACCAGGAAAGCCTCCGAGCTCTCCTGATCCTGCTCCCCACCGAGGGTTGCGTTGGGATGCTCCAATCCCGGGAAAGCCCTCAGCTGAAGGGAAACTCCCGGGAATTTCCCACCTGCAGGTTTCCTGCTCTCTGTTTCTCCCAGAAATTTTTATATCTTTCCTGGGTGCATCTAAGGTTCCAGGGGGGCACCCGAGGGTGCACAAATATAAACGTGCAGCTCTTGGCGCGATTTTTATCAGAAACGAGTGATTTCTAGGGCAGTGCAGAGTGAGCCCCGTCCCCGCCAACCTCCCCCCCATGCTGCTCGGAGGGAAAAAAAGCGGGAAGGTCAGCAGGTCCCGCACGGAAAGTTTTGCTTTCACGCTGTTTCTTATTATTATTTCTCCCGGGAAAAACGCCAGCGGGCRACACAGGCTCCGAGCGCCGCTTCCAAGGTCCCTGCCCGCCTGCTCCCGCTGCTCCGATTCCACCCGCCTGTGTGTGGGGCGGGGGGGGTGGAATTCCCAGGATTGAGCTCCATGCAGAGATTCCCGAGTGCGGGAGCCGGAGCGGGAAGGGATCCTGCTGTGCGGAGCAACGCCGGCGCGTGGAGGCTTTGRAAAGGGGGGGATCCCGTTCCCTGGCTCGGGAGGCCGGCGCGYGGGGCGCCCGGGGGCGAGCGGTGCCCACGGGCCCGCGGCCGAGCTGGCAGGTCRGCGCTGACGCGGCGCCAGGGATGAATAATGCGCTCCGGGCCCCGCTGCTATTTTCATCTCCGCTTCGGCTCCGGCCTCTGCTCCGGGGCTGCGAGGGACGTGCGGGGGACCGGGGGACGGCAGCGGCCTTGGGGACAGGCTGGGAGATGGCGCGGGGAGGAGCAGAGGGGCCTGTGCCCATCACAGGGGCGCGTGAGAACGCCTTTGGTAGGTTTCAGAGTTAACGAGCCCGAGGGAAAAAGCTGCACTGGTCTCTCTTGGGGTTTGGGGGGCACGGAAGAGAGCGGGAAGGCTTTCCTTCCCCTTCCAGATAGGCATAATGCCCCCTTCCCCCAGCCTTCTCTGCCTGTGGTATCCTGGGATTAATCTGGGCTGTTCACTCTGAAGCCTAATGAGGGCCCATTCACCAGCAGCACCGCCGGCCTGGCAGGATGCGGAGCTGCCGCCAAGAYACCACGTATCCGAGGAGCCCAGGATGTATCCCGAGGGCCCAGAGCGGAATTCTGACCTTTTCCACTCCCTTGGAGCCCCCGCCGCTCTCCGCAGCGCTCGGCCCGTGCGATCTCCTCCCCGACCCCGCTCCCTCCTCCCCGGCTATAAAATTGCCGTGCCGGAGAGATAACAGCAATTAATAACCCGGCCCCCCCCCGGCTCCCCCCGCTCGCAGCTGAGGCCTCGTTAAGCTCCGGCGGGCGCCGGGCTCCGCGCGAGCCGCAAACGGGCGCTGCCGGAGCGGGAATGTGCGGAGCGGCGCGGGATTTATCGCCTGTGCTCCTGCCCCCACGGCCCCACGTGGGGGTTGTCACGAGTGTGTCCCCCCCCGGGACGCTGYGATTTATGATAGATCCCAGCGCGCCCGGTGCGAGGGGCTGCGGGGATGGGGATGCTGAGATTCTCCGGTGTCTACTAAAGGCTGCGCAAAAGGTGCTCCGGGAGGTCCGTGCGCTCCGGCGAGCTCCGGATCGGCACGACGGCCCCCGGAGCAGCCCCCTCTCATCCCTGCATCCCGAATCCCGCGGAGCCCGGAGGCGGGAGGGGGCGGCCGCGGGGGCTGGCGGCGCCCCAAGGCGCGGCGCGAAACGGCCCGTTCCGGCTCGCGGCAAACAGGKCCCTTGGCCGCCGAGCGGATTTTCCATGACAGCATCGGGCCGGGCGCCCGGCGGCCCCGCCGGGGGGGCAGCGGGAGGCAGCGGCGTCCTCGCTCCCCGCCTCGTCCCCTAGGATGCAGGTGGCTCCGGATGCTCCGCGTGGCGCTGGGAGCAGTGCGGGGCAGGGATGTTGGGGTGGCTGCTGGGGCGGCTGCAAAGAGCCCTCCTGTCCCTCCTTGGGACACGGGATGTGGATGCACGGATGGATGCCGGTGTGGATGGCCTCATGGATGGAAAGGTGCATGGATAGATAGGCGCATGGATGCACATATGGATGGATGGATGGATGGATGGATGCATGCATGCATGCATGCATGCATGCATGGCTGGATAGGTGCATGGATGGATAAGTGCATGGATGGATAGGTGCATGGATGCACATATGGATGGATGCATGGATGGATGCATGGACGGATAGGTGTGTGGATGCACATATGGATGGATGCGTGGATGGATGCATGGACGGATAGGT